CTCTCTCATGAGTTGCGAGACTATCATTGCGCAGCTGGACGTGCTGAAGCTTTTGTGAGTGTACAAAAATCGCGCTAGCAGGTGGGAGCAGGGCGGACTTCAGGTCACAAGAGGCTTCACATGTTCCATGGGCGTCAGGCTTGCATCCACAAACTGAATGGCCGTTTTGGGCGGGGTCCAGGGATCGCTCTAAGGTCGAGATTCGCAAAATCGTGTTTGGGCTAAAACTTCTCTCTACAAGCTAAGGCATGTTGCTTCCGTCAAGTCTGCTCAAGAAGGTCAGCGGCCCGAATCGCTTCTGGGCCGCCTGGGCCCCAGGAAGTCGTCCCGCTGCCTCACCGCAGCCGGTCTGCCCCGCCTCGTCAGTCGCTGCCCTGGGGCGCCGGCAGCGCCAGCTTCAGCAGGGTCTCCCGGCCACTCGGTGCTCCGGACGGTCATGGAGTCCACGGCCAGCAGCCCTCGGAAAGCCCCCGCATCCTCCACGGCCTTGATGCGCCGGTCCGTGAGGTCCTTGTTGTGCTGGAACTTGTCGGCGTTGTCCTGCAGCAGCCGAAAACTCGGTGGCCGGCTGCTTCTCCACGTCCTCGGGGCGCCGTATACCGTCTCGTGTGGCCGTGTTGTAGGCCCCCGCGGCACGCTCAAAGTGGTCGCTCCACTGCCCGCTTTTGCGGACACGCGTGTGGCCAGGTCCGTCTTCAGCGTCTGGATGCCCCGTTGCCGTGTCCTGGTCGGCAGCCGAGCGGTACGCCACCAGCGCCGAGGTGATCTGGTTGGTCGTGAAAACGTCCTTCCGGGCCCGTTAGGCCAGCAGCGCGCCCGAGATGGCAGCCTGCGTCTGTGTGTCCTGCGCGCTTGCCGTCTGGTAGTCGGCCAACAGGGCGTCCACCTGCGCCGAGGTGTAGTAGGGTAGCAGCGCAGCCGAGATGGCGCTGGTCGTCTCGGCGTCCTGCGCCGTCCCCGTTCGGGAGTCGACCAACAGCGCGTCCACTTGCGCCGGGGTGTAGTAGGCCAGCAGCGCAGCTGCGAGGGCCGCGTCCGCTGCTGCGACGGAGTAGCAGTCGGCCGTGATGCTCAGCGTGTCGTCGCCGTTGGCCAGCGCAGCAGAGAGAGGAGCCTCCAGATGCAGGTTGCGAACGACGTTGCTTCCGCGAACGAGCTCCCAAGTCGTGAGCCCCGCCCAGGCCGGCGCGTTAACAACTCCGCCTCCGGAAAGCTGCAGGGCGGCGAGGTCCGCGAGGATTGCGTCGAGGGCGCTCTGGAGCGCGGTCTCGCTGGCTGAGAGCGCGGCGTTCTTGGCGTACGAGGCCAGCAGCGTCGCGTCGGCCTTGGCGCCCTGGAGCGCTGAGATGCTGGCATCCCGGCTAGCAAGCTGCGCTGCGACGAAGGCCTCGGTGGCGAGACCCAGCAGGGCATTTGCTATCTTGGTGTCTACCTCCAGTGGTGTGTCCAACCCGTCCACCGTGGAAAGCAGGGCGGCCAGCGCGCTTGCGTCCGCCTTGTCGGCCGACGAGGGCGGCGTCGAGGGCTGCCATGGTGACTGCGTCCAGGAGGGCTGCTGTGATCTTCGAGTCCACCTCCGAGGAAGTGTCGACGGCCGACTGCAGGGCGTACGCAGTCAGGGCGCTGGCGTCCGCCTTGGACAAGATGGAGGCGTCTCGGCTGGCGAGCTCGGAGGCCAGCGCTGCGGCGGACGCGACGCCCAGGAGAGCGTTGGCCACCTTGGTGTCGACCTCCAGCGGCGTGATCGATGTCGAGGGAGTGCTGGTCCACCACCGTCTTGAGGCCGTAGTTGGCTGCCACCGTGGCCAGCGTGGCGTTGTTGGCCGAGGCGATGGAGCCGTTCATGGCCGCCGTGGTGCTGCTGTCGGGGGTGCTCTTCGTGGCCACCACGCCCTCCAGCACGTCGAAAGTCGGCCTTGTTGGAGAGACCCGTGGTCAGCGAGCTCTGCAGCGCTGCGATGCTGCTTCCGTGCGCAGCCACCTGCCCGTCCGTGGTGGCCAGGGCTGCTGCCGTGGCCAGAGGTGCGATTGCCGGCGCCAGTGCGTTGCTGTCCAGCTTCGAAGCCAGCTCTGTAGTGACCCGGTCGTCCAGGGACTGGATGGCAGCTGCGTTGTTGCCGGATGCTGCTGTGTTCACGGCCAGGTCTGCCACTTGCGCGTAGGGCGTCAGAGCGAGGGCCAGCTGCCCTGCGGTGACGTGCGTGCCTTCCGTTACCTCTCCGTTGTCCAGGACCTCCGGGATGTTGCCGGTGACTGGTCCTTCAAACATCTTTACATGTGTTTTCGCCGACGCCTTAGTCCAGTGGCGAAGGCATCGGCCAAGGAACTATCAATATAGACACTAGAGTAATAGTTTCCTTTGCCGTACGACTCAAAATGTGTGTATATAAACAAGCATGCAGGTAGTCACCGCCGGAGCCCAGGATGAGCTGATGCAGAGCCTGGACTACAAGCTGAAGACGAGCAACACCAGCTACGTGACGGCGCGGCACGACGTGCAGTACTTCCCCAGCTCGCTGAGCTCGTTCTCCCCCACGACCTCTCGGGTCTGCCGCATCCCGCTGACCAGCGGCACGTCCTTCATCGACCCCGAGTCGATCAAGATCGCCTTCCGCGCCAGGAACACGGACGGCACCAACCCGCTGGCCCCGGCCACGCCCAACCCCGCCTGCTTCGTCCAGCGCGTCCAGGTCTTCGCCAACAGCCAGCGCTGCGACGACATCAGCTACTACGGCCGCACCGTGGCCGTGCACGACCTGCTGAAGGGCCGAGAGTACACCGCAACAAGGCCATGGAGGGTTTCGACGAAGTCGACGACCCCCGCATCGCCCGCGCGGTGCACCAGGGCGGCTACGCGGACGTGCTGCTGCGCCCCACCATGGTGGGCATCCTGCGCTGCGGCAAGATGCTGCCGCCGCAGCTGAACCTGGTGGTGATAGAAATCGAGTTCGCCGACGCCGCGACTGCGCTGTGGTCCAAGAACGCCGGCGCGTATCCGTCGGGCGCCACGCTGAGCACCGACTTTGAGATCCAGAACGTCCGAGTTCTGGCCTCCCAGGTCGTCCTGGACTCGGCGCTGGTTGAGTCCTTCAACCGGGTGCTCCTCTCAGGAAGGTCGACGTGTTCAGCTACCCCACGGTGCACACGCAGCAGTCCAGCGTCCCGAACGGAGTCGCGGAGCACAACGTCACCGTGGCACGCGCCTTCACGAAACTGATGGGAGCGTTCGTGACCTTCTGGGACAACGACGCGGGCGCACTTGCTGGCCAACCCGGGGCAGGACGTGGCGCCCATCGGCGCAGCGAGGCAGGCAGTACCCTCACAACCCCATGAAAGGAGCCTCGGAGCACTTCCACTTCCTCTCGGTCCTTGCGGGTACTTACGACGACACGGTGCGCAACATCGACATCGGCCGTGTGGGCTACCTGCGCCACAGCTTCATTGCCGGCTTTCCGACCGAGCGCGTGCCCAAGATGCCGCTAAGTGGTGTCAGCACCCGCTCGGGCGACCTTGCTTGGTTCACCTTCAAGGGCCTGGACGGCACGATGACGGACCTGTTCATCAACCTGGTGGCCTACCAGCTGGTGACGCTCTCCGGCACGGGCGTCTCGGTGCTCGACTAAATCCAAAAAGCGCGCTGCCCTTCAACTTCGTTTTTGACGACAAGTGGCAGCGCTCAAAAATGACAAAAAAAAAGGCCCGCTGTCATTTGCCGTCGTTTTTGACGTCGTTTTTGACGAGAGACGACAGCGCCCAAAAAACGAGAAAAAAGGCGGGGGGTGCCCCTCTTCGCCCTTTTTGGCGTTGAGTGGCACCGCCAAAAAAACATGCAAAATCACGGAAAATGGGCTTGTTCCAGGCTCCTCGGATCCGAGGAAGCCAGAACGGCCTAATCCGGAACGCTCAGCCGCTCCGCAAGCTCTGCCGTGGCCGCGCGTGCAATCTCGTCGCACAGCGCAGCAGGAACGCTGTAGAGCAGCTCGCGTGACTGCCGGCTGACCCTCTCGTACTGCCCCTCCATCAGCCGAGGCCCCCGCTGCGCAGCCCGGAGGTGCCTGCCGTCCTGCCACGCGTCGCAGCGGCTGCCCTGCACAGACCTCGCCTCGGCCTCCAGCGCATGTTGCCCCAAGTGAGTCCCTGCCCCAAGTGCATCCTCCCACTCAAGTGCATCCCCTGCCCCAAGTGTGCGCCTGCCCCAAGTGAGTCCCTGCCCCAAGCGCATCCTCCCACTCAAGTGCGTCCCCTGTTTAAGTGTGCCCCTGCCCCCAAGTGTGCCCCCCGCCCCAAGTGCGCGGGTGGCAGGGTTGAGAACCGGCGAGTACATGGCTGCCCTTCACATGGCTGAACTGGACGCTGGCCAAGAGGCCCCAAAAACAAAGCGGATCCGTGGCTGCGCCTCAGAGGGCTGGCCTTTGGCAAAGTGGACCTTCCGGGAACTGTGTGTGAAAAAATCTGGGGGGACCCGAATTGGGAATCGGGGGGTGGATCCGGGAGGGTAGGGGACTTGGGGGACTTGGGGCACCCAGGCGACTCTGGTGGAGGGAACCTAAGCAACTGGGGATCGTGGCGCCTTTTGCTCTCTCCAAGCCATTGAAGCTTGCAACCCATCCATGAGACGCTTGGGGCCCTAGGCCTGTGAGGCTTGCTTGAAGACTTTCGGGACGTGGTGGAGCCGAAGTCAGCCTCCTTCAAGACCTTGTGAGTGAAGAGCTTCCAATAAACCTGTTGCCAGGCCGGAGCCCAAACATCTTCCCGGGGCGCGGCCGGTGAGTGACGAGCCCAGGGGGCAGAGGAGCTGGGAAACATTGCGCTTGCGGTGGTTTCGGATTTGACGGATCAGCGCCCGCCATGCGAAATGTGTGAAAACATTTTTGCTTGTAGCCTGGCCCAAAGAAGCGCTCAGAAGCAGCGCTGCCGACGGTCCACGCACACAGCGCAAAGTCGCACTTTCAAATCCACATCGTATCGCAAACTAGCCACGAGGGAAACACTGCGCAGCCATGGGCGTGGAGACGACGAAGGGCAGGAGGAGCCGAGGCTGGTCAGCTTCAATTCGTGCTTGTTAGGACTCGTTGTCGTCAGGTGTTCGCTCCCGCATTCTCCTGACTGCAATCTCGTGGCTTTTCTTGCACACGGCCAAGACCTCGGCAGCATTGTTCCAGTGCTTTGGTTTGCTGGTTGTGGCCCCAGGTACATCTCTTCACCATCCCTCACGGGCGGATTTCACCGAGTCGGCCGGGCTGGAAGGACACTAGATTCCTGGTATCTTGGCTGTGTTTTGTGTGGTGCCGCCAGGATTCTCGCGGGCCACAGGTCCAGATCTTGGTGTCGCTGTGATTGTTTTGCCTGGATTTTCAGCTCTTGAGGTGACACGCTGGCACCCTGGGCGTGGCGGAGTTGCTTCGCGCGCCAGCCCGCAGCAGGACGCTCCAATCAGCAGTTGTAAATTTGGCCGGTTGCAATCGTGCCAGGACAGTGGTGCGGAGGCCGGGGGCTCGCATGTGCCAGGCTCGGTTGTTGGTGGGCGCTGGCAGGACTGGCTCGCCAAGAGCTGCGAGGAGGTGGCGTCCTTTGGCGAGGAGGAGGTTCTCACCTGGGCCAAGGCTGTGCTGGCGGCTGGTGGTCTCAAAGGCCCTGCGGAAAACACCATGAAAGGCATTGGCCGAGTGCTGAAGATTCTCAGCGAGAACGAGGTAACCGGCAAGGCTTTGCTGCGGCTCACAGTGGAGAAGATGATGGCAGCGCCGTACAACATCCCTGGCGGCCCCGCGGAAATTCTGGCTGAGAGGATCCAGCTGCTGAAGGAGCCCCAGGCACGGCTGGAAAATCGTTTGCTCTTGACTTTGTTCTGAGACATTGGTCGTTGCGTGCGAATTTGAGGAATTCCCCCCGCGGCCCGCAAATGCTTTCAATGGGGCTGCCCTGATCAACATCCACAGAATGAGAAAATCCCAAGATAGCATTTTTGCAGATTGCGGCGGTTCGTGTCGTTGGCAGGCTCGGTATGGAGCCTGCATGAACGGATGGTTGCCTTTCCTTGTTGGAGGTCGGTCATTCCTGCTGGTCGACATTGATTGAGACGTGCCGTTGATCGTTGTGAGTGATTTTGTGCTTGCCCCCAGCCTGCTTTTGAAAGAGCAAGACCTGCCCGTCTGCCGGGGAGAGGGAGGGCAAACTCTGATGTCTTTGCACCTTGCTGCTGCAGGCACAAGTGCATTCTATGAATGTTCTCTTTGATCTCCCTGGCGGTGTTCTTGCCCATGTTTTGCCCGTTTTGCTGCCATTCCATCCCGTTCTGTTGTTCATTTTTCTCCGTACCTGTTCATATCTGCCTGATTTGGTGTGAGTGTTTAGCGCAAAACTATCAAACAGTCGAGGGGGAACCCGTAAATATTGAAGAGCCTGCTGTTCCAGTCGCCTGCCTTTTGAAGAGCAAGACCTACCCTTCTGCCATGGTCGTTGCTGCTGCAGAGACAATGCAATCCGAAGCTGAAATTTTGTTCCGACAGCACGAGCGTGGAGGAGATTGCTAAAGTGTGCACAATGTATTTCCCGGCTGACGTTGAGACGTGCTGTTTGGCTTTTTGTGTGGTTTTGATTTCCCCCGCGGAAATGCTTTCAGTGGGGCTGCCCTGATCACATCCACAGAGCCTGAACATATTTGACGCCACTCTCATGGGCAGTGTTCTGCTGGAAAATTTGGTTTTGTTTCGGTTTTGGTACCCTTGTGTTCCTTGCTTTCCTAGTGCTCGGCTTTCGCACTAAGTACCCATGCTTCTTTGTGATCTGTTGTGAATGGTTAGCGTTTTGCAAAAACATGGACCAGTGGGAAGGAACCTGCAATGCAAGCGATCGATTTTCTCACCAATTGCCGATGCGTGTTTGGTTTGTTGTGATTGTTTGTCCTTCCCAGCATTCCCTCATGCACCTCCCGCGCAGGTTGAGCTCCCTCGTTTTAGCGCCACAGATCTCTTGGACTTCGAAGACCGCTTTTTGAACAGCCGAATCAACAACAAGGATGAGAGGCCGTTTCTGGAAAGGGAGGCGGTTGTTGAGAGTGTTTTGAAGCAACTAGAAAAGATCCAAAGGAAAGGGACCAACAAGCCGACGGTCTTGGCCTTGTCGAGCCCAAGGGGCACCGGCAAGACATCGCTTATCCGACACCTGGCTTTGAATGTCCCGAACTTCGCAGAAAGCCGAGGATGTGGGCGGCTCTTGGTTTTTGATGCGGTAAGGATTCCATCAGCACTGTTGCGCAAAGATCCTGATTTGCTGGCTTCTGCGATCATTTTGTGGCACCTTTGCCGCATCTTCGATGGCTACTCTGTGGAGGTGAGCCAAGGGCCACCGATTGGTTTCCAGAGGAGGACGTTCAGCGATTTGGTCATCACATTGGAATCATCGAGGCTCAGCCAATCACTGCCAGCTGTCGACAGCTTTGAGGCTTGGGTTCGCTTGCGTTGCAAAACCAAGGAAGCTGTTTTCGAGCAGTGGCTTTCGGTGACGTCTGCAGCCTTCAATGCGACACCAGACTGCGCTTGCTTGGTGTTCCTCGATCAGGCAGAGCTGCTTGTGAACAGACAGGTCGAGGGACTGAGCCACCATGGTGGACAGAAATCAGCTTTCACCGAAATACTTGGCGAATTTCCGCAGAAGATGGGCATGTTTTCGGCAGGCACGGTGAATATCTTGATTGATAGGCCGTCGGAGGAGTACACCTCGCTTAAGGTCCAGGAAATACCGGCTCTGGCGCCGTTGTCACTGCAAGCCGCCAGACGGGCCATGGCAGAGTGGGGAGGCTTGCAATACAAGAAGAAGGAATTCGACAACATTCACCTCTTCTCGGCGGGGGTACCCCGGCTTCTGGAGGCGGCTTTCCAGACCTGGGGTGAGTTGGCATCAACTGCTCAGGTTGCACTCAATGCCATGTCGCAGGAGTTCAGAAGCTCGTATGCGGATGCAGCCCCCTACTTCAATCAGCCAGAAGTGGCTTTGGCGTTGGTTCTTTGCTCGGCGGTTCGATGGCCTGCAGAAGGCCACCAGCTTGTGCCCGGAACCTCAGTGAGGTGGTCAGACATCTTCAGGGCCGGAGCAGCATTTCCAAACAACAAGTCCGTACTGGTTCCACGGCTGTGGTGGTGTGAGGATACCAATATCAAAGACGCCATCCGAAGCGATTTGAAAGAGCTGAACATTGACCTGGAGGGGCTCCTGCCAGATTCCTTGCAGTTGCTCAACAGCCCAACAAGGGGTGCCACTGAAAGGGGGGAGAAGTGGGAAGAGCTGGTTGCAAATTCCCTGGCAGCGCGGTTCCGCCTTCACTGCATAGCAAGAAACCTGAGTGCTGAAGTCACCTGGGTCCCTTTTTTGAAGATCTACCCTACGGAGGATCCACATTTGCGAGCTGTTTTGGAGCCTTTCGAAGTTTGCTGGAGTGATGGTGTGGAATATCCAAGCGGCCAAGGCAATGAAGCAACTGTCATGAGTGACGTTGGGAAGGCCATCAAGTCCAACCGGAATTTTGCAACGGCTCACCACGACCTTTTGATCCCCGTGAGATGCAAGGCAACTGGTAAGCTCGAGTTCATTGCTGCGCAATGTCGTTATGGAAAGAAAAAGGATGCAGGCGGCCTGAAGTTGCAGGACAAGGCAAAGAAGGACGACTTTGAGGACATGCAAAATGTGTTGCTGCAGATTTGCAGTGAGTCTGAAGGCTGGCAGTCCTTTACAAACGAGACATGGGCCAGACGTCAGGAGGAGAAGAAATACTCTCTCATGAGTTGCGAGACTATCATTGCGCAGCTGGACGTGCTGAAACTTTTGTGAGTGTAAAAAAATCGCGCTAGCAGGTGGGAGCAGGGCGGACTTAAGGTCACAAGAGGCTTCACATGTTCCATGGGTGTCAGGCTTGCATCCACAAACTGAATGGCCGTTTTGGGCGGGGTCCAGGGATCGCTCTAAGGTCGAGATTCGCAAAATCGTGTTTGGGCTAAAACTTCTCTCCACAAGCTAAGGCATGTTGCTTCCGTCAAGTCTGCTCAAGAAGGTCAGCGGCCCGAATCGCTTCTGGGCCGCCTGGGCCCCAGGAAGTCGTCCCGCTGCCTCACCGCAGCCGGTCTGCCCCGCCTCGTCAGTCGCTGCCCTGGGGCGCCGGCAGCGCCAGCTTCAGCAGGGTCTCCCGGCCTTCGGTGCTCCGGACGGTCATGGAGTCCACGGCCCGCAGCTGCTGCGCATTGCCGTACTGTGGGTTGAAGCTCCTCGCCGCATTCGTTGGTGCTCGGACAGCCCCCGCATCCTCGACTGCCTTGACGCGCCGGTCCGTGAGGTCCTTGTTGTGCTGAAATTTGTCGGCGTTGTCCTGCAGCAGCCGGAACTCGGTGGCCGGCTGCTTCTCCACGTCCTCGGGCGCGCCGTATACCGTCTCGCGGGGGCGCGCGTTGTAGGCCGACGCGGCCTGCTTGAAGTGGTCGCTCCACCGGCCGCCTCTGCGGGCCACCCTTGTAGCCAGGTCCTTCTTCAGCGTCTGGATGCCCCGTGGCGTTGCGATCCTCGGGGCGCTTCGTGCGGTGCACGGCCTCCGCAGGCAGCCCCCGGTCCAGCGTGGCGAACTCGTTGCCCAGGTCGGTCGTGACCACGAAGTTCTTGTCGTCCCCCACCAGCTCCTGCGTGGCATGCTTGGTGGCCTGGCCGACCGTCTCGGCGTTCTTGTTCTGTAGAGGCTCCACAGCAGCCTCCCGGGTGAAGACGTCCATGGTACTTCGTCTTCCCCCGCGTGTTCTGGCTGAAGTCGATGAGGTCCGCCTGCAGCCGGTCGTTCGGCCCCTCCGCAGCCGACTTCCCCAGCGCCCGTGGCCGGGGCGCCTGCGCCTGCCGGCCCACGTCGGCCTTGAGCGCCTTGAAGGCCATGGCCTGCGTCACATCGAGGTCTCGCTGCCTCGCAAGGCGACACAGCTTACGGGCCGCACGTTGAAGTCGTCGGCAAGATCCCTCAGCGCCTCCATGTTTACTTGTTCTTCAGCCCCCGCTGGGCCTGCCAGGCTTCCACCGCGTCCAGCCTGGCCTGGAAGCCCTTGCACACCCCCCAGAGCACGCTGGTGAGGTGCGAGTAGTCGAGCGTGACCATCTCGGTGCCGTCGCTCCACCGGGCAGTTCCCGTCAGGTTCTTCCACTTTGTTCCTGCGAAGTCGTCCGAGGCGAAGCCCAGCCTCAGGTCCCTTGGCCTCCACGGAGTCGAAGAGCTGCAGCGGCTCCCCCACATCAGCCTCCGCCATTCTCCGTCTTGACCCGGTTGTCCAACATTGCAGACCACGTTGCCCGTGTTGCCGGCGATCACCAGGCAGCCGGGGTTCCTCTCGTTTGTGGTGAGGGACAGCTGCGTCGAGAGGCTCTTCGTCTGGACCAGCGCCTCGTCGTTGATCATGATGAGCTCGCACTGGTGCGCCCCGCCGTCCCGCTCCAGGAAGACCCGCGCGCTCTGGTTGCCCAGCAGCCGCAGCTCCGGGCCGCTGTTGGATGCCGCGCTGTTTTTGGAAATCTGCACCTTGCTCCAGCCGCCCAGTTCTTCGTCAAAGTGAGGTCGTCCGCGAAGTCGGAGGTGTTGGTCACGGTGAGCGTGTTGGACGCAAACAATTGCGGGGCGGAGACCGTGCCCGAGCTCGTCACGTCGCCGCACACCACGCTGCCCGTCGACACGCCGCCGCTCGGGCCGTGAAGGTGCAGTCCAGGCTCTCGCAGTCCAGCGGGCCCGTGGAGGCCGCCCCGGTGATCGTCAGCGTAGCGCCGCTCAGTGCCCCAAGTGGCTGCGAAGCTTGCCGCGGTCGCTGCGCCGGAGGCAGTCAGGGTGCCCGTGGACACGTCCCCGACCGTGGTGAAGTTCCCCGCGTTGGCTGTGTTGTTGATGGTGAGGGTGCTGCCGGTTATCCCGGTGGGCCGCTCCCGTGATGCTCAGCGAGCTGCCCGAGACGGCGCCGGTGGACGTCAGCGTGGCTCCGGCGATGGTGCCAGTGGCCGTGATCACTGCGCAGGAGATCGCGCCCGAGGCGTCTACGCCCGTCGTGAACACGTCCGTGCAGTTCACGTCGTTGCACAGCAGCTGGTCGCAGCCCACGTTGCCCTGCGCGGTGAGCCCGTCCGCCCGTCCAGCGTGGCCGAGCCCGTGAGGGCCAGCGAGTCGGCCAGCAGGTCCGTCACGGAGACCAACTCTCCCTCGAAGGCAGTGGCCCTGATCTGCAGGCTGTACAGGTCTAGCGTGCCCGCCGACTGCTGCACTAGGCCGGGGATCGACCCGCCGAAGGCGCCGAAGTGCAGCTTTGCGACTCCGCCCGGCGGGCCCGAGAAGTCCATGCGCGGCGTGCTCCACACTCCCTGCGCGGCCGTGCCGAGGAAGGTGCCGGTGACGCCCACGTAGTCGTTGTCGGCCGCGCTGACGTACATCACCAGGTTGGAGGCCGTGCCCAGCCGGCGCCGGCAGCCGAAGGAGTAGCGCCTCCCGGGCGTCAGAATGTAGGTGCGCACGATGTTCCAGGCTAAGGCGCTCAGGGTCATGGCGTAGCCCTCCAGCTCGAAGCTGCCCACCGTGAAGCTCGCAGAGGCCACACGGAGCTCTGGCTGTTGTAGCGCACCAGGACGTTGCCCAGCGTGGTCAGGGTGGGCTCCAACAGCACCTCACCCAGGGTGGCCAGCGTGACGTCGTCGGCCCCACCGTCGAGAAACTCGTGCTTGAGCAGCAGGGCCTGGAAGTGCGCCCCGAAGTGCAGCTTTGCAATCTTGTTTGAGGACGGTGAAGTACATCTTGGCCGTGCTCCAGGTGCTCTGATCCCCCACAAAGCTGCCGTACAGGGGGTCGTAGACGTTGTCGGCCTCGGACATGTACACCACAAAGTTGGAGGCCGTGCGCCGGCAGGCGAAGAGGAGCTCCCGGCCGGGTGTCAGGCTGTAGGTGCATACGATGTTCCAGGGGTTCACTGCCAAGGTCAGGGTGTAGCCGTCGACGCTCACCTGGCCACGCTGCAGCCGCTGCTGGCGAACAGACCAATTTGGGAAGCGCACGGCAGAACCCCCTCTAAAGAGAGAGTGGGAGGGTTCTGACACCCGTCCGTCCAGGAAACGATGGCTGCAACATAACGACCCCTAGATATGCAAGTTGCATTTCAGCAAGGTTGAGGTTTGCCAAAGGAAACCCTTCCCTTTTTTCGGTCCCCCTTTTTTGTGGGACCCCTTTTTTCTGGTTTCTTAGCCCTGCAAAGCTCGGCTTGCTGAAATGCAACTTGGAGGCAAATTGCAAGCATATCTAGGGGTTGTTATGTTGCAGCCACAAGCCTGCACGCAGCATTTTAGATTTCGAATCTCTCGCAGGGCGAGGTCGTTTCCTGGACGGACAAGTGTCAGAACCCTCCCAGGTGCAATAAAACCCGTTTCGGGAATAGCTTCTAAAGAGAGAGCTTTGTTATCTCTCTCACCTTATCTCGAAATTGTATCAAATTGTCCCGCATTATGTCAAATTATCGTTGATGGGTTTGCTTTTGACGAATTTCAAGGATTTCGAGGAGTTTTTCTGGAATTGCGATGGAATTTCGTGCCAACTTTGTTGGCCTTTTGGGGTCTTCTCGTCAATTGTTAAGAACAAAGGGTGTTCCGTGCATGATGCATTTGGCAATAGTACAATTCAAGCGCAACATTGCGAAACACTGCTGTGATTGCATGTGCCGCATTGCCTTGAGCACGGTCTTCCGCGTCCAACAACGAAACGCTCCAGGGTGTCTCTCAGACACCACTGACTCAAAAATAGAATACAACTGAATAAACGTAAGCAAATGCCAAAAAGCATGCAAACCAAAATGTTGCACAGCCAAAAAAATCCCCAAGCCGCCTGAAGCATAATCGCCGGTTGACAAGCAGAAAGTCCATGGTGCAAAAGAAACTTTGGACAAGTGCCAGGCAAACAAATTCCCAATTAGCCCAAGGTCCAGTGAACACAGGGCAAAAGGCCAGGTACACAGCACAGCGCAAAGGCTGTGTTTTCCCACATGCCGAAAGAAGACAAAGGAATGGAAAACCTTTCAAATCTAAGCCCCGTGATTCTGGCACCCATAAACGGAGAGCGCAGCGATTGCGCCGAGGTTGCCGCGAGTACACACGGAGTTCGCGCCGAGTACGCACCGAGTGACCGAGCACGCACCCAGTGCACCGAGTACGCACTGAGTGCGCCGAGTAGGCGCGAGGGTGTCTTTTCGCTGGCGACTGACGACTTGCGGTCACTCCGGATGTTGAGCCTAATGTCCCGGTGTTTTGTGTTGGATCGTGCGTGTCTTGCGTCTGTGCACCTCCGCTTGATGGAGCACAAGTGTTCGATGTCCCTTCCTCACTTCGTAGATGAGCAAAGACGCCGCTGAGGTGCGCATCACACCACCAGCGTGACCTGTTGTCCAGCCTGCCCCTCACGCATCTCTGTTTGCTTCCGCACAGGAGCTCGCGCGCGCTCTCTGGAGTCCTTTCTTGACCAAATCGCGGCGCTGTGGACTTGGGCCAGACGTTCCTCCGCAAGCATGAGTTTCAGTTCTTGGCTCTCCCGCAGGTTTGGCATACCCAGCTGCGTCTGAGCGCCAACCTGCTAACATCGAAACTCAGTCAGAGCTCCTTCCCCTCCCATCCGTGCCCTGTGCGGCACGTGCCTCACGGCTCGGCTCAAGGACCCGCGGAGAGGGCACCCGATTCATTTGGACAGGCGGGCTACCTGACGGCCGGAGCCAAAAAAAATCCACGAGTCACCACAACGGAAGGAGTCAAACGACTTGGCTGTTCTCCTTGTCGGGTAGCCCTCTTCGACTACTTTTGTTCGCCGTCGGCAGGCAATTTCACGGCATCCGCAGGCAATGCTTTGCTTTCCAAAGTGTTGCAAAGTGGCCGAAGGCATTTTGGTCGAAGGAAGTTTGCATTGATGTTCGTCACGGGTTGACAGAATGTCTATCTTTGCGCAGTGAGCTCCAATAGTACTTGCAGAAGCCGCGCTTCGATGTCAGCCACGCCCGTAAAGAAAACATTGCAGCGCGCAACAGCATTTTGCGCCTCAACCAACCTTGCCAGGGCCTACGAAACCCGCGTTGAAGTGGAGTATTTCAGGGTTTTGCAGGTCAGTGAAGAGGGGTGAATATCAGAGTTGACGTTTACGTTGTCGGGTAACGCGCAAGTTGCGCGGCTGATGGAAAAGGCATGCCACATCAAGGGCGTGGTTGAGTAAACCGTGGAGAAGTGTGGGAAAACTGCGGCTTTGCTTGAAAGACGGCTGAAAGTGGAGCAGGGTGTCGCGCAAAAAACCATCATTCGCCTGGGAGGCAAGTGTTGGTTTGGTTGATATTTGAGCCTGTTGTTTCCTTGACCGATTACTTCGTCATTGACCACGGGACTTCCTTGTGCGTTCCAAATAGCTTTCGACTGAGTGGTTTGACGTTGAATCATTCGTGGTTTAAGGCGGCCTGTTTGAGAACATGACTTCCATTGGCTCAAGATAGCGTGTCGTTGTTGTGCATTTCCTGCATATTGCAATGTTCCTTGTAGGCAAACACACAACTCTCGCAGTTCGAACTCAGCATCATGCTGATGGGCAGGCCAGTTGTTGAAGAAATGACCAGATTATGTACATTTTGATTTTGCATATTTTCGGATGGTTGCGGCTGGCAGCGGACAAGGCCGCGTGCGACACCAGGAACTTCAATGTTGACAATGGTGACATGACAACACATTGCATGGGTTGGATTTGCGTCAGGCTTGGATCACGAGATCCCGGAGGCTCCGAACACATACTCCGTTGGCATAGCGCAACGCAACTTCTTTACAAATTGCATGTCGGAACAGTGTGATTCTTGTCTCATTGTGCCGCGTAGGTGTCCAGTGATCGGTACCTCAACCTGCTCGACCAGGCGGCGTTTCTTGGTGTGTGCGTCGCACCGGAGCAGCTCCAGGCAGAAGTGGAAGCATTCTGGCAAGAAGCGGGCGTGCGCGGTGGGACAGAGCATGTCGTTTCTCTGGTTTTGATCAGGGCATGTTTAGGGTTAGTCTGCTTCGCACAGGCTGTGCTGAGTTATGCTTGGTTAGATGTCAGGGAGATAGTTTTCGGACATAGCGCAGGAGTGAGGATCCCGTCTTCCAGATAGATTGGGCTGCCGCAAGGAAGGACCTTAGTGTGAGTGAGGGTGCGGGATTGAAAGCCGCTGGTGGCTGGAATTCGTTGCAGGCTTTAATTGCCCTTTAACTTCTTATGCGTTTGTCAATTCATGGCAAGTTGACGCAGACAGCTGGACAAACTGCATGACACTGATGATTTGACGACTACTTGCTGTGCAGGACATTGTCGACCACCCAAGTATCAAGAAGCTTTGCGATGCCGCTGCTGCCCAAGGCAAATCCGGAGAACGGCTAGATCAGCGCGTGGTCGCAACACCCTCAAAATGGTGGGTTGACATACGTCCCCTTCCTGCGCTTTTGGGGGGGGAACGCGTTCTGAATTCACCAGGTTTTATCGGGATATTTACCTTGTTTAATCATTTACCCCTCTGGAAGTGGAAGTGCTGGTTGGTTCGTTGCCTTTCTTGGTTGTTTCCCCCCTGGAAGCGCTGGTTGGCTCGTGGCCGCTGGTTGGCTCGTGGCCGCTTTCTCGAGGCGGCCAGCGGGCTGCCGCCGCAGTGCGGCAGCAGGCCACGACCCTGGCGAATGAGCTCGCCGCCCTGGTGGAGTCGAGGAAGGGTACGCGGGTACGTCAGGTAAGTGGTTTGTAAGCCGGGTGAAATATGCCACAAAGGCCATGGTTATAAGCCTCCGATCAGTGGGTTATAACCAGGCTTACTAACCACTTACTAGGTGCCCGATCGCCCCTTTAAGTATGGAGGCTAAACCACAGGCAGGGGCTCCGCACACAGGAGCTGCTCGCCCGCAAAATGTGTTCCGCGTTAACCACCCATTTACCCAACTAAAGTGGGCAGGGGGGGTACCATCAGCACTCACATCCATCAAATTGTTGCTGAACATAAGAGCTTGATCACGGCACCAAGTGACTGGTGGCAGCCGATTTGCCAGTTGTTCTTCCCAAACATCACAAGAAGGAAACTCACCAAAACAAAAAGGTGGTGTTTGAATCTACCACCGATTTGTGCAGGACTACACACTTTACCTCGGCACTGGCGCGTTTTATGTTTCAGAGGCTCTACTCTGGTGTCCTGTGCTTAGACGCGGCAGTAGGCCAACTGGTGCTGGCAGACGAGGGGTTTAGTTCGGCCAATTAGGAAGTATGCAGTCATGCAGCCAGGCAAGAGGGAGGATTGGGGATTCTTTGGAGCCGAGTTGATCTTCGAGCGAGAGCAGCTGAACGCTTTGGCCAACTTGAGTATGCGCGCTCGAGCGGAAGGGCGCAGCATCGTGTACTTACCTAGCTGCTCGGATCAGCGCAATGTTGATGAAAGACGACCCGGGGCATTGATAGGCTGGGGAGTGTATTCCCCCTGAGTTGTGAAGCAATTTCACTTCAATACGGCAGCTGTCGATCAAGGCTTTCTTTGTAGATTCATTGGGCTTGCAGGCGGAATCCATCGCAAGATATTTCTTTCTGGCAGGCTGAAATCACTGCTGTAGGTGCTTGGTGATATGGTGACTGTCCATTCAACCCTGGGAAATGAGGTCACAAGAGCCACATTGACTACCTCGTGCTGCAGAGTTTTGGCCTATGTTGGAAACAGGTTTTGGTATGTTTCCACTTTTTGACTACCCTAGATAGACTCAAACCCAGGGGTTCTCCTTTGCGGGGGAATGAACCACCGCTGGGTTTAAGTCTACCCTGGGGTAGTCAAAAAGTGGAACCCTGGGCAGGGCTCCTTAAAAGATACATTTTGCCCATTTGAAAAATGTTGCATTTTCCACCAAAATAAAGGTTGAAACTACCATTTACAAGGCCATGTTCAGGTGTAGAATGCATCCGGATCCCTGCTGGGTTTTGGTCTTTCTCGCCACGAATTTCTCGAAAAGATCGGCCCGAGTTCTCCGAGGTTCGCGCTGTGGAACCTGGGCCTCGGTGCTCCTGCGATCGCGGCGGGGGAGAACCTGAACCTTCCCTTCGTTGGCAGGTTTCGCTGCTTGTAGATCGCTGACCGGTGATATCGAATTCTTTCGGTTTGAGTTTTGAAATTTTGAGTACACGAGTCTTAGTAACCAAACATGTTTTCCAAGGTTGCTACGAGCCGTCCTCAGTTTGGTGTCAAACTCGAATCAGCAATCCTTGCTGTTCACTTAGGCCGCAATGGTGCCTTCTATATCCGCAGGACTCAACTCAAATGTTGAACATTGCAGAAGCTACTGCATTCTTTCATTCCCTTTTACATACCCCTTCTTAACTGACCCTGAGAAGCTTCTCCCATGTTTATGCCTCCTTTTTTGCTAGCCAAGGAAGCCAGGGCAATGACTCTCAGATGGCTACGTTTTGCAAAGCGAACCCCTCAGGTTGAACATGAGTTTCCATATGATATCCACCCAAAATGTCCCTTCAAAATTCATACTCGGCTTGGTATGCTTCGTCGCGCACAGGAGCTTCAGCGGCAAAGACAGTGAGCTGTATACAGCAGTGGTTGCAGCGTGCCGCTGAATCGCCAAAGCCGCAGGGAGGCGTAGCGTGTTCCTTTGAGGCACACCCTAAGGGAAACCAAAAACACAATTTTTTTTAGGCCCCCCCCCCGGTTCCAGGGATCCTCCTCTTAAACACCCCAAGCGCAGGTACATGGAGGGGCTCCTGCTGCGCGGGGCCAATGTGAAGTTCTTCTCGGAGGGCGGCCGCAGCCGAAGTGGCAAGTTGCTTCCTGGCCTGCTGAGTCAAATTGTGGGCACTCCTTCCGACTTCCGAGTGAGTTGGTTTGGTATTCCGAGTGTTTTTTCTGGTAAAAGCAAAAGGACAGTGAGCATGGGGGTCACCTCATTTTGACACACTGTACTCGATGCGTTCCAGGGATCCGTGTTTTCACAGAAGAATGTGAATCGGCTAGCGGCGAATTTGGGTCGTTTCTTCGGATGAACGCTCGGGGAAAAGAATGGGGGATTAACTTTAGACTGATAGTTGACCTGTTGCAAAGCATCTCCACGAGGTTGTGCTTCGTTTTGACACAGCTTTTTGTTTTGCAGAAGTAGAAGCATGTGAATGAACACGGTCATCCTCACAGTTCTCCTTTGTGCCATGTTCTTTGTGCAAGTTCTGCCTACGCAACCCTGAGCAGGTTTTTGCGCGCAAGCTTTTCTGCGCAAGATGTGCATGCAAGTTTCTTTGTGCCAGGTCTCCATGAAAGTTTCCCGGCGCAAGTTTTTGTCTCTAGAAGTTCTCGGTGAAGTCTTCTCTGTGCAAGTTTTGTTTTTGCAAGTTCTCGATGCAAGTTTTTTTGTGCAAGTTTGTTTACACAAGTCCTCAATGCAAGTCAGCATTTTGGTGCAAGCCGGTCTGCCTCGGGCTACTTTGTGCTGAAAAGTTGCGATTTCGAGCTGGTGATGTTCGAGGGGCAGACCAAGACCCCGCGCGGGCGCGCAGTCGTTCTCCGAACTTCAACACGTCCGCGTCTGCTCACACGCGCGCCACGAGAATCGCAAAACGTAGCCACAGTCCGCAGTTTGTGTCACAGTTCTTCACAGGTTGACCTTGCAGAGGGTGGCGCCGTCTTTGCAAAGAGGGTTGCGCTGGGAGCGCAAAAAGACAGCAACCGAATGCATATCGACCACGCGCAGAGAGGGTCGCATTCCCGATCCACGACGTCAACCCTGGCCCCCCCGCCAAAAAAGAAAGACTTTAATTTAGACGCACGGTTCCCTTGACAAGTTTTCTGTCGTTGAACGTTGGCTCTGCAAATTCTCTGCGCATGTTTTCTGCGCAAGTTTTCTGCGCAAGTTTTGTGCGCATCCTCTCGTCTATGCGTAATTCCTCTTTCTTGCGCAAGTTCTTTGCGCAGGTTGTCTGTAAGAACTTCTCTGTGCAACTTCTATATGCAAGTTCTCAGAAACCCGTGTACTTTGCGGAAGAACCCTTTGCGATGCTTTTGGGAAAGTTGTGGTTTGCCTGTAATTACCCTTGCACAAACCCAGCTTAACGCGGACGCGAGGTTGCAGCCAAAGATTGGCTTGCTCGGCATGGTGGTCGATCCAATCCTTGCTGGCCATGTGGAGGATGCGTATGTGGTGCCTGTCTCCATCTACTACGATGGGGCGCAATGGCCGAACACAAAGCACCGATGTATGTTTTGGTAGGTATGGATGCTTGTATGCCACCCAAGCTTGTAGCACTAGCACCCCTCGCGTGAATACAAGCTGGAAAGTCGCATGGGGATCTTGGTGACGTGTGGTGTCCCGCCAGGGCTATCCAAAAGAGTCCCTCATTTTCTCAACCAGCCATGTGAGCAGGTGGGCTTCCTTTTGGTTTCCCTTCAAGACCAACCAAAAGATGGCTACCCGCAAAAAGCCGGAGCTGGTTCAGCACAGGTGATGGAGACAGAGAGCTACGTGAGGGAGCTGCTTGGGAATGCCAAGCGCAAGGAGCCCGTGGTTTGACGGTTGAACCTGTTGATTGTTTCGCCCCAGAAGGGAGTGTGCAGTCAGGGAATCCCTCTTTCGTTGGTGGTTCAAAGCATAACTAAACAGATCCCCCCCCCTCTTGCCCCCTCTTGCCCCCTCTTGCCCCCTCTTGCCCCCTCCCCCCCCCAAGAATCTCCACTTACATGATGTCCACCAAAGGGTCCACGAAGGAGAGCCTCATGGGCGTGCTGGGCCAGGGGAAGCATCTACTCGCCATGCCCCGGTCGCGCTATGGCCGCTTGGAAGCTCTAGGCTACTTTCATTTGGTGTTGAAGGGGGTAGCAACCTTTATGGTACATGGGTTTTAGGCGCTCAGATGGGATGGTGTTTTGAAAAGCACCATCCAAGTATGGGATCGTTATGAACGATGTCTTGGCTTGGCCCCACATCAAATGAGGTGCGTTTCTGAGACTCGTGGGTTGGCTATTTGAACATGAGCCAGGATCAAACGTAGGGTCAACCCCACACAGAATTGATGAGCATATCTGCCTGTATGATTCCTTGCTGTAGATGCTTTCGGGAAAGGAACAGCTTTTAATCATGTCATGACTCGTCTTTTTTGCATTTTTCGGGAATTTGGTTCCTTTTGAACGACCGTGAAAAGGGCAACCTCAAGAAGCACTGCCCCAAGTAGGGACCACCAATGATGACTACTGTCTTCCAGGTTTCCTTCCAACATATTCTCACAAGGAACCACACACTGCTGGGGAGTTTCTCCCAATTGCTTTCCCCGGTCATGTTCACCATTCAACAGCTTGGTTTTGGGGATGTCACAGTGGATCCCGTGGGAGGTCCATGGAGGGAACCGATTGCACACGGGTTGGATGTAGATGCCAGCGCTTGAATGCTTAAGGAAACATCCATGTGCGCTTCGCTCCTGGATTTAGTGCTCGAAGACTCTCGGTTGCAACATGCATGGCTTTGCGAGGAGGCACTTGTCGGTGGCGTCCATGCTGGACGCGCCTTGCGAGGTTTCATTGAGAACTATGTGTCCCTTCAACAAGCAGCGGGTCATAGAGCAAACTTCGATCCTCAGAAATCTGCGACTGAGAAGGGTGTTCTCTTGAAGGCGCTCTGACCACATGGGTGCGGTTGAGCGGTGCTTGCGCAGTCACCGACAGGAGGGGTTGCGCAGGTTTTGGTCCATGTTTCCACTTACCAGGGTTCCATTTTGGTTCGGTTTTTTGAGCCACAGCCACATTATGTGCGTTTGTGGTTGGGTGAAAAGTATGGGACTGGGACTGTGGATCTCTTTCGACATCTTAAAAAAAGGGCCAAGCCTACTACTTCTGACGCTTGAAGGCATTGGCGTACCACGTCCTGGAAGAGATCAACCGTGTCTCGAGTGTGACACCCACTGCGTTGGTGCCATGCTCAGACAAAAGGTCTTTGGGGATTCATTGCCTCCATTTGTGGCGCCACAACGAGTGCGTTGGTCCCTGATGGGATACCTGGGGCCAATCAGAGGATCACTTCTAGCTGTTTCACCGGTCGGGTTGCTCCTGGCGGATTTCTTTCCCCAGATAGCTGAAAGCTATAGGGATTCTAACTTCTAATACAGAGGGAAAGTGATTGCGACCGCGCAGTCACTTTCAGCATCCCAAACTGCATGCCCGGCCGTCAATCTCGCAAAAACCGTCACTCCGAACAGCACCCCAACGCGAAAATGCGCCCGTACCGTCGCCAGCACCTCACGCAGCACCCCCAACAGCAATCCCCACATACACCAGGACCCTCAAACTGCATGCCCCCTAGCACCCGCCCGTCAATCTTGCAAACATGCGCCCGTACCGTCACCTGCGTGCCCGCTAGCACCAAACAGAACCCCAAAACAGCACCTACACCAGCTCCCCAAGCTGCACGCCTCCTAGCACCAGCTCGTCTGACGGCAGGGAATGCAGTTTGGGATGCTGTTTGGGGTGTTGTCGGAGGTGATAGTGTCGGCGCGGTCGCATTTTTGCGAGATTGAAGGCCGGGTGCTGTTTGGGGTGCTCTTCGGAGGTGCTGTTGGAGGCGCTGGTGCGCAATCGTTGGCGTGTTTTTCGCTATTTGGGGTCTATGCTGGTGTATTTTTTATTTCTCCGCTCAAGGGAGTTCCAGCGAACGGCATCCGGGCTACCGCAATGGCCATGTCTCAAGCAGCTGAACGCCGTGTGACTTGGAATGTGGAACTAAAACCCATGTTTACAGGTTCGGGGCAGGGGCTGTTTTTGTTCACATGTTTGAAACTATGTGTCCAATGTTCCCCAAGGAAAAACAAGCTCACTTTGGAATGCTTGTGTTGTGTGTTTTGCTGCTGTTTCAAGAACTTTACATGATATGTATATTTAGTATTTCCAATGATTCCCAACAGTTGCTTAGGAACATCAACATCAATGTCCAAGTCCAGTGGTCTGCTGTTCCAACAACTTGATGTCAGTCGAGGGTTTCACAACACACGCTGAGTTGCGTGCTGTTCCAACCGCTTGATATACGATGATTTTCCAATGTTGATTGAGTTGGCAGCTGTTCCAACCAGATGCTATATGGCCATGGTTCAAAACCCATGGTACCATTTTGGTATAGGTGCACCACCCATGTTAGCCTATTTTAGTGGGGATTGGGATGTTCACCTGGGGTACGGGGTTCTGAAGTTCTGACCCATGGCCATATATGGTGGGCGCCAGTACGGGGGGTGGGTGGCAGCACGGAACACGGGACATATGCCTTCCCGTCTCAGGATGGCGACTTCGACATCGCAGCTGCCTTTGCGGACTTCCTGGCGGATCAGACCCAATCTGAACTTGCCCTGCCGCCCATGACCACCGAGCAGCGCAAGGAGGCCAAGAGGCCGGGAGGGAGTTGGTCTCGAGTCGAGCGCCGGTGACGAGGGGCTTCTGTTTTTCCCTGCTAGTATGTTGGCATGTGGGGCGTTGGATCAATATTCTTGGCCGTAAAATGACCCATGGGTAACTTCCCCCATGTGGTGAAAGCCATCTTTTTTGGTGGTTTGCCTGATGGTCACCCCATTGATCAACACCCATGTGTCAGGCAAGGGACTCCTATTTATGTTGGCCTGAGACCCAAAAAGGCTTGCGCGTGACATGCCTTGTCCATGTTCCACAACGAGTCCTTCGTTTTGGCGCACAGCTGAACGCGCTGCACAAAACAATGTGTTTGTTTGCTCATTGCAACCACACAAGCTAAGTAGTCAGGATTGAAACAGCGCACCTCTTGAACCACTTCTTCCTTTTTTTGGCGGGGGGGGGGGAATGCGCCTTTGACTCTTTTGACTTTTTGACTCTTGACGTTCGGTCGGCGTCGCCCGCTGTCTCTATCGGGAGACGGAGGTTGGCGGAGCAATATTCAGAGTCTTGAATGCAAGCGAATTTTTCGGTGAAGAACTCAGCTTCAGCTGAAGCTGATAGAAACACATTTCCCGTTCGATTGGGAATCCGTTCGTTTTTCCACCCAAGTGGTTTTTCTTTGGGTTCAAAAGCCAGGTTCGGGGGGGCCGACGCATTTCTTCGAGCATCATTGGGGGGGGGGTCTGCCGCCCCCTACCCAACCCCCCCCCGCTACTTTAAAGATTTTCTACAAATATTTTATTGCACCCCCATTCGAATCACCACTTCTTCGAACATCATGGAGGGGGCTGCCTAGATTTTTTGAAAAGATTTAATTGCACCCCTATTTGAATCCTCATTTGTTCGAACATCATGGGCGGGGCGGGCGCCCCGGCAACCGCCCCGGCAACCGCCCCGGCAACCGCCCCTGCAACCTCCCCGGCAACCGCCCCGTTTTTTTTTTTTTTTTTTTTTTTTTTTTTAAAGATAATAAATAAACAGAGATTTAGTTGCGCCCACTACTTGTTTGTAGATTTAGTTACCCACGATTTGCTGGTGAGGCTGGGGATGTTAGTGGGACATGCGGCGGATGTTGAAAAGAAAACGATGCTGGGGATGTTGACGGGCTAGTGTAAAATACGTGCCAAAAAAACAGTCTCAAAATACATCCGCACCCAATGAGAAACCCTAGCAAGCAGAGGGAAGCTTCTCTTAGGAACTCAAGTGCGAGAGCTTTGGCTTTGGCGAAGAGCGCCGGCTCCACCTCTTCAAGCAGCTCGAAGGTGGAGCTGCCTCAGAAGGCCCGCTTGACTTGGATTCTTGGGAATCCCATTGGCGGGATGGGGCCCGATTTTTGCATAAACATCCATACTCTTTTCCCGACAAACAACTTCTTGAGGCCACCCTCCCTAAATTGCACTCCTGAAGGGTGTTTGTGGAAGGTGTTCGGCCTGATTTGCTAAGAAACGCCGCGAGGTGTTGCTTGAACAAAAGCGGTTGACTGTTTAAGCTCAAGAGTTTTCGTCCAGCCAACCGTCGAGGGAGGCTATTTTTTTTTTTTAGTGATTTGGGAGTGAGGGTTGGAGCAAGAAAATAGCAATCTGAAAATTAAGAGCAAACTGAAAAGCAAGAAACAAGTGATCCACTTGCAACAGTTGACAAAAAAAAGCAAGAACATAGTGATCAGATGGTCATCAAATAGTGATTTTGGCACCTCAAAATAGCCAGGATCCAAATAGTGATTATATGGGAGATCACTATTTTCTTGCTTTTTTTGGCAGGCGACAACCCTCGAAACCCGGAAATCTGCAAATTACAGTGGGAGATCACTATTTTCTTGCTTTTTTGGAGTGGAAAATCACTATTTTCTTGCTTTTTAAACCCGGAAATCTGCAAATCACAACGGGAGATCACTATTTTCTTGCTTTCTTGGAGTCGGAAATCACTATTTTCTTGCGTTTTTTGGAGGCGACGACCCTCGAAACCTGGAAGTCTGCAAATCACAACGGGAGATCACTATTTTCTTGCTTTTTTTGGAGGCGACGGTCGCCTGCGAAAAAAAAATAAAAAATAGTGAATTCAAAAAAAACAAGAAAATAGTGATCTCCCGTTGTGATTTGCAGATTTCCGGGTTTCGAGGGTCGTCGCCTGCCAAAAAAAGCAAGAAAATAGTGATTTCCCACTCCAAAAAAGCAAGAAAATAGTGATCTCCCGTTGTGATTTGCAGATTTCCGGGTTTCGAGGGTCGTCGCCTCCAAAAAAGCAAGAAAATAGTGATCTCCCGTTGTGATTTGCAGATTTGCGGGTTTCGAGGGTCGTCGCCTGGAAAAAAAGCAAGAAAATAGTGATCTCCCACTCCAAAAAAGCAAGAAAATAGTGATCTCCCGCTGTGATTTGCAGATTTGCAGATTTCCTGGTTTCGAGGGTTTATCACAATTTTCTTGCTTTTTGTTTCACAATTTTCTTGCTATTTTCTTGCTATTTCTGGTCTCTTGTTTGCTTCATTCTTTCCTTCTTAGTGCCCACTGTTTTCTCTAAAATCACTTTTTTCTTGCTTTTTTTTTCCCGCCCGAAACTGGGGATCACTGTTTTCTTGCTCTGTTGCTTGCTCTACATCTCACAAAAAACAAAAAACATTTTCCAATGGTTGGCTGGTTTCGCAAGTCTTAAGTTTAAGCAAGAGGGTTGGCCCAACACCGGTCGCTTTTGCATTGTTGGCTTGTGGCTATGACGTTCAGATTCAATAGGGGACCTTTGTCAAAGAATGGCGGTCACAAGTGCTCAACAGAACATGATGGACCCCCTTTCAGTTGGTATTTGCAGAGAAGTCACAAGGAAGCCGTTACCATCTTAGGGAGCCAATTTTTATGAACGCAGGCCTGACGAGAACCGGCTCGGAGAAATCCACCAGTGCATCTGAGGATGCGCCCGGACTCGAATGGCGGTCGTCTCGAAATGGCAAACCCCGAATTTCTGGAAGATAACTTTTTTGGGGTTGGCTTGAAGGGAAGCCAAAGAGAAGACAACGATTTCTAATGTTCCCTATTTCAAGACACCCCAAAATGGGTGCTTTGCCCCCCATACTGCAGCCTGCTGCGGAGCTTCGTGGAAGAAACAAGGCCCGCTTTCTTTTGAGTGCAGGTGACCTATCCTCATTCTTTCAATGCGTTTTGGGCAGGTCCGGGTCAGCCTAGGTTGTCCGTTAGTGCACGCATAGATGCATAGTTACAAAGATGCATAGATACATGGACACATGGATTGGATACATGATACATAGATACATGCACGGAGTGATACATTGATACATAGATACATAGATAGATAGATAGATAGATAGATAGATAGATAGATAGATACATAGATAGATACATAGATACATAGATACATAGATACATAGATACATAGATAGATAGAGAGATAGATAGATAGATAGATAGATAGATTGATTGATTGATATGATATGACATGATATGATATGATATGATATAATAGATATAATAGATATGATAGATTAGTTAGATAGATAGAAAGATAGGTAGACAGATAGATAGATATAGATGCATAATGCATAGATACATAAACACAAATATACATAGATACATCAGATAGATAGATAGACAGACAGACAGACAGACAGATAGATACCTACACGCATACATACATGCACAGATAGACAGATAGAAAAGATACACACATGCATACATGCATACACACATACACACATACATACACACATACATAAACAAACAAACAAACAAATAAACAAACAAGCAAGTAAGCAAGCAAGCAAGCAAACAAGCAAGCAAGCAAACAAACAACCAACCAACCAACCAACAAACCAACAAACCAACACACACACATGCATACATACATACATACATACATACATACATACATACATGTATACATACATACATACATACATACATACATACATACATACATACATACATACATACATACATACATACATACATACATACATACATACATACACCATAGATAGATAGATAGATAGATAGATAAATACATGCATACATGCATACGTACATACGTACATACGTACATACGTACATACGTACATACGTACATACGTACATACGTACATACGTACATACATACATACATACATACATACATACATACATACATACATACATACATACATACATACACATCCATGCATGCACGGCACGCACGCACGCAGGCACGCACATTTACACACAGACACACATCACCATGGACAAGCATGCGCACATTACTTTCATTCTTTGATGTGACTGCAGTGCTGGCCGCTTAGGTGCAAAATGGGACAGCTTTGGACCAGGTCGGTTCTCTGGTATCAGAGCTGATTCAAGTCAGAAACACCTTCATCCACGTTGAGGATGAGGTGCCCATTGACCAACGCAACATGGTTGCGCCTGGTGAATTGGACAGAGAGCTTCACGATGAGCCGCGCGCGTTTTTGCCCTTGTCCGACTAGGTATGGTTCAGTCCATGCCCCATGGCATGTTTGGAAAGTGCTGGGAGGAGGAAGTCGTTCAGAAGATGACAGGCAGATTGCAGATATGAACTTGTATGCATGGCATGTAGATACCTTCGCTTGCAGCTTTGCAAGCATCTAATAATTGTTGCGGCCAGTTTTGCGGACTCCTCGCTAAGTTGTTTCCGCAGGCCTGGCCAAGAAGAAAGTTGAAGACGCTGGAGGCAGCGAGGGATGTTTGAGTTGATCTGCGATGGTCATGGGGCCGTCAATTTTCACAGCAAACAAGATCCAATACTGGAGTCTGTGTTGAGGATAACGTGATGCTGTGTTGAGCGCCATGTTTTGCCCAGTTTTGGGGCACGCCCCTGTCTGCAGCTCTTTCCTTTCGCTCAGGTGCAGTGGCGGAGAACCCACCATGCAAGGTTACCGTTCCGCCGCCCGCAAAGGAAGCGCCTAGAGGCCAGGAGTTTGGGGGGGTTGCTGCGTGCCTTGTTTTTCTTCCAATTTTATTTTTTTCCAGGAATATATATATATATATACACACTGTATGTTGAATAAGCATGTACCATTGGGGCCGATCTGTTTGAAATCAGGCAAAACCACAAGGAACACGGACATCCTTGAGTTCTTCATGACAAATCACAAATCAACTGGACCAATATGAGAAACATAGTTTTCAAGGGGGGGAAACAAAACAAACAGAAACACAGCACACCATGTCAGACCACATGGCTCCAGATCGTGAGCTGTGCTTACTTTGGGGTTTCCATATTTTTTGGGGGAAAACTCGAGGCATCTTTTCGAAAAGTGTAACACCTCGAGTTTGCGTTCAGCCCTCCTTTTTGGATGGTACGCTTGCTATGAGTCGGTTAAACATAAACCCTTCCTTTGCTTTTGGTTTCCCCGTTTGATTCTCTTGCCACCTTGCAAGCTGCAGGTATTTTCGCTCCGGGATCAGATGTTGTCGTTGAGGGGCTCACGAAATGTCCGGCAACTTGGCTCCAGCTTGACCGATTTGGTGCCTGGCATCTTGCGAAGGCACCAAGCGGGCGAATCACATGTGTTTGCGTACTTTTCTCTGGTATCCCCTTGTTTGGGTTGTTACAAAGGGAAACCAAGAGGATGCCGAGCCCCATGTCCAGGCTTCCCTAACTCCTTCGTGTCATTCTACTTTTTGGTAATCCAAAGATGTGGCTCTCTGGAAATTTGCGGTCCGAGGCCTTCAATGGCTTGTCTGGGAAGGTTCAGTCCCTGGACAAGGACACCGGACGCTATGATGTCCTGTTGATCTCCAACACTGGCTACCAGCTCGCCAAAATCAAGGGCCAGGGCCTCGGTGTCGGGTTCTGAAGCGTGCCTTTCGATCCCTGACATGAGCGCCTGAATCAAGCGCTCGCCGTGTTGTGCCTGCGTTCTGAGTCAGGGCAACACTGTCATCGGCTGAACTGTTGTGTTCATGGTTTTGGATGCATACCCGCCACCTAGAGGGGTTGATTTCCAGTTTTGCATGGCCAAGTGTGCCATGACAGATGCTGCTTGATGCGAGATAGTCATCGACCCCTTGGGTGTGTCTGTTTTTGAGCGACCCTTTTCGGGGTTGGTGTCCGATGCGACAAGCCCATGATCATAAGCCTGGCCAGCGGATGCGGATTGACCATGGCACTGGCTTCAGGCGAGAACTTGCGCATCGCAGTTCCTCCACCTCCAGCGCAGCGCCCAGAGGATTTCGGTGCCCGAGCGCCAGAGCCGTGGGTCAAGTGGCAAGCTTTTATTTTTTTGCAGAAGCTGGACTCTGGATGCGTTCAAAGGAATTCATTGGGTGTAACCATACATACATTTCGGCCCGCATGTGGAGACAAGCCATTGTCTCATTGTGGAGGGATTTGTCACTTGTTTGAACAGATTGCGGGCTGTTTGTCAGATAAAGAACAGAAGGGGAACCATGAGAGTGGTGCACAAATGGGTTTTGTCTCGTGATAAGGGACACTAAAAACTGTTTGGTGTCCTCTTAGGAATGTTTAGTTTTTGTTGGTTTTCCTTACTCCATGGGTTGTTCTCCAGCTGTGAGACACATTTTTTGAGTGCCGTGCAAGTCAGGAAGTATCGGCGCCGATGACGATGACACTTGCCGCATTACTTTGGCACTCACTTAATGATTGCTTGATACTTGTTGTGACCGGGTTTGTCTCAAAACAGGGAGCCCCTTTTTGCCCTGAACACGACCGATGAGGTGCGGTGGTTTTCAAATGCCCAGCCAGCCTTGTTGGTACGAGCAGCACATGCAGCCCTACTATGCGCCTTGTCGCATCCAGTCGGTGCCGCTGCACGGTTCGCGTAGTTGTGACATGGGTATGGGTCAAAATAGACCCACCAGGGGACCGCAGGTTTAGTCTTTGGTTCCATTTCTCAGGGTTCCATTTTGGGTACGCATTTGTGACCCACAGCCACATCCATTGCTGAGGCCCAGCCTGATCCATATGTGTACGCGCCTGTGTGCCCAGCTCGCTGATAGGTCTGGACCTGAGTAGGCACTTCGGCAACTCTTCCTGAGCCCCAAAACACACATACACCAACACACCAACACACAAACAACCAACGAGCGAATGAGCGAATGAACGAACGGCATCGCACACACACACACACAGCACAAACACACCCACGCACACACACACAACACACACACACACACATTCACGCGATTGCGCACGCACGAGCGCCTCGAGTTTTCTCCGGCTTGAGTCCCTCTCAGGGTCCAGAGGTGTGTGCCTGTGTGTGGGGGGTGGATGGTGGGTAGGCTTGGACATTATTTCGATCCTTTCTTTGCCTTGCATAGCCCAGACATTTCGCACCGCATGTGTCAATGCTTGGGTGTGAATGATTTCTGCCAAGGTCCCCATTGCTGCTGAGCAGTTGAGCCGTGATGGTGAGACGAAGCATTCCCGAAATTCGAGGCAGCTTTGTGCTCCAGAATCATTTCGCCAAGTGCGTGCAGTAGGAATGCCTTAGAGCATCTAGGACTGACTCCTTGAATCCTTGAATTGTACAGCATGGACTGAGCTTTTTTGGACCAGCTCGCGTTTCCCGAGTGTTTAAGAATCACCTTTGATTGACACATCTTGGGAAATGTGATGCTGACTGCCATCTGAATTAGTTCTACGGCCAGCTTGTGGTAACTGGCATGGAAATTGCTGATGTAGGTGCCTTTTCAACATTCCGACCAGTGAACAGACGCATCCTTTGGACTGGACGCCTAAAGAGTTCCTCAGCCGAGCCTTTGCGAGCTCTTCACGACCCGATACACTTTGACATTGGCTGTGACTCAGGGCACTCCGGGATGTGTAGCCTTTCCTCAGAAGTCGGTTTAGACCTTGACATCGAATTTGTGGTGCATGCGAACATCGCCAAAACATGCTAGCAGCGCATCGTGCGGTGGCTTGCTATAGTCCTTTAACAAGTTCCGTTTTGGGCCCCCTTACGCTGAACAGAATGTCCCCATCCCAAGGAGTCTATGTTGGACACCGAGGGCACCTTTGTTTCTTTGCCAGATAATTTTGCAATGACCTTTGTAGCAGGTTGTGATATCAGCTGATCGTCCGTCAAGAAGTCCGTTTAAATAGGTTCCAGCTTGCACAGAAGCACAATCCTGAGTTTTGGCATCCGAAAGGAACCCCATTTGGGTATACGTCCAAATGTATATACATATATATATATATACATTTATATATATATATATATGTTTGTATGGGGGCATATCCAAATGGTGACCGTCCTTTTCAGTTCTTTCTCCACTCATACGGCACCAAGGTGGGTACCGTGCTCCTCTGCACGCTGGGGCGAGGGATTGGCCGACGCGCTTTGATCAACAAAGTGGAATGGTTGCGTGGGGAGGCGAGGTGATGAGCAGGGCGGCAACCAAAGCATTTAGGTGGTTTGCAAAGAGCACCAAAAGGAAGCTCATCATTTTGAGGGTTCCCGGCAATTTTTATAGTGCGGACTCAGTTGCTTCCTTTTCGATTTGTCTTGGCGCTGCAAGCCATTTGAGAGGGAATGCTTCAGTTTGGAGGCCATTTTAGAGGGAAAGATCAATTTTGGGCTATTCATCCGGGTTCTTCTCAAATCCGTGTCCACATTGCACGAAGGGACCGCCTTATTGCCCACGCCTTGCAGGTTGTGCGATCTGGAGGACACATGCCAGCCGGCAGCAAATCGTTGGACTTGAGCACTTGCTGTGCACGGCCGTTTCAGCCTATGTGGAGACATGCCAAGGTCTCACTTCTACGACTTTCCTGGCGAGCTGACTGCGGAAGTGGTCGATTCTGCGCTGGCTGTACTTGGAAACTTGGTCCAGACCTTCACAGGCGACAAGCATGCTTGAGCTAGGGCGTTGTTGCCTTGATCCGACAGGCATGGGAAGCGGGGGGCGGGGGGTGGGGGTTTTGGATGTTCGGCCACTGTTATGGAGGATACTTCTGCAAGTGACAAAGTAGTCCTGCGGATGGTTCACGTTGGGGACAAAAAATGATCGTTCTCCATCACCATGCACGCAAAGCAACATGTATTCAGCCAGTTGAAGATCCAAGCCGTGTCTAATGTGCCCTGGCACAGTTTGTGGAGTTTCGGCAGGCCTGGTGGAGCCAGTCTACTGCGTGGCACCGGGGATGAGCTTTGAGCTATCCTACTACAGGCCGAAGGGAGAATCGATTTGCAGATCTTGTGTGGAGCAAATGTGTGGCTTGCAGGAATCTCTGCGTTCACGCTTTCATCCACCAAGCCATCGTCACGGCAGTTCTACATCGTACTGTTCAGAAGAGCATGGCTTGCATAGAGTGACCCCATGAAGGCTTGGGGCACATGCAGATTTTGTTTGGGCTGATGAGTTGCTCACCAACAACACGAATCCCCAACTTGATGAATTTGGCTTGTTTGCAAGTTGATGGGGAGCAACTTTGATGTTTATTGGTGGTGTGGTGGTGGTAGCGGCGGCGTTGGTGGGGTGGTGGGGCGTTGAAGTGGGACGGAGAGCATGGGTGCTTTCAGGGTCAATGGTTTGACGTGCTTGGTGAGTTGCAGCTACGAATTGCCAGACACGGGGCCCGCTAAAGCAGCAAGTAGCAGATTCCCTCATTCCTTTTGGGGTTCGATTCATTGCAAGCCGTGCTGAGGAATCCCACTGCGCGACAAGTTCAGCGAGTGGACTTGATGTCGGACTGCGTGCCTTTTAGTTCTTGAAACGAACCAACGGCGTCAGAGTCAGTTTAGGCCTGTGCCAAAATCGCGAAACAGACTCCATAGGATGGTGGCTTCCCTTTTGGTGTCCATTGGGTGAAAAGGGTACCCTCAACAAAAACATGTGCTCAAAAGGAAGCCACGGTCACCTTTCAGGACCAACAAACACATGTGGATGGACAAAATCCATTCCGCACCAGTGATGGCTTATCAAGCATTCAGACTGCTTACTCCATCCCCAACTGTAGGATTTTGTCAATGCATGGAACTACAGAAGCTATGTGATGTGTCTGCTTGCAGAGTGATCCGTGCAGGATGTGCGATTTCTTAGTCGACTTCTCAAGCGTGACTTGCCTCAGCTTCGTGCGTGACATGCGGACTGCGGCTGCATGTGCACCCCAGGTGAGTTTGTGTTTTCCGGCGCAGCGGTTCCGGGAGATGCGTCGCGGCATGTATCGCAAAAACCAGTGTCCAGTGATGATGGACATGACATTACCACTGTGGCTTGGTGGCACTCTAGTTTGATGGTTGTGTAGAAAAGCTCTTCTTGGAAGGGGTTGGTAGAATTGTTTGCATTGAACTTTTCTGTTTCTGGGTTGGGGTAGGGGCCCCCTTTTGTCTCTTCTTGTACTAGTAGTGGTTTCCTCCAAGTAGAGGCCTTTGATGGGATGGCGATTGAAGGGGGACGTTTCTACCAGCACAGCAACTGACAAAACTACCGTTGGGGGCGCCCCCGCATCTCCCACAACAACAGCGGGTGTTCCCCATTTTCCCATGCCCTCTTGGCGGAGCCAGTACTGTTGGCCTGTGCTTAAATGCTCAGGAGTTGGGGGGGGGGGGTTATGGAAGCTTCGGCACTTCAGGCACTGATGCGGAACTTTGAGTCTGCGCTTGAACTCTTGGTGTCAGAGGGTGTGCTGGACGTGCACGAAGGCCTTGACGCTGGGAGTGTGTGAGTAGAAGCTTGATGACGGAGCGATCCGGAGGATCGCATTGGTCAGAGTCCCCTTCAAATGATTTCCACGACGGGTATGTTCACTCCGGTATGCTGCTCCGGGGGAAAAAAGTATGGAGGGGTATTTTTTTTATTTTTTTTTATATTTTTTTTTCTCGTTTTTTTGTTTTGTTTTTGTATTTCTTGTTTTTTTCTTTCGCTTTTGGCTTCTTGGCTTCTTGGCTTCTTGGCTTCTTGGCTTCTTGGCTTTTCGGCTTCTTGGCTTCTCGGCTTCTGGGCTTCTGGGCTTCTTGGCTTCTTGGCTTCTTGGCTTTTCGGCTTCTTGGCTCCTGGGGCTTCTGGGCTTCCGGGCTTTTCGGCTTTTTGCTGGTTTATGCGGCTTTTGGCGGCTTTGGCTTTTCGCATCCTTCGGGCTTTTTGGCTATTGGTGTTTAGATTTGGCTTCCCGCATCATCAGCATCACCACCCCTATTTGAATAATCACTTCTTCGGACATCGTGGGGGTGGGAACCCCCCCCCCAACCCACCCGCTACTGTTTAGATTGTTTGCAGAGTAATTGCACCCCTATTTGAATCAACTCTTCTTCAAACATCATGCGGGGGGGTTGCCGCCTCCCCCCCGTTACTTTTTAGATTTCTCGCAGAGATTGAATTGCACCCCTGTTTGAATCATCACTTTTTCGAGCGTCCAATTTCGCGAGAAAATGCTGCAACATACGACATTTTAGGTAATCTGTGTAATCCATGTATGTCTGTATGTATGCATTTCTTCGAACATCATAGGGGAAGCCACCCCCGTCAACCCTCCCGCTGCCTTGTAAATTCTATCACACCCTTTCTTCAATCATTGCACCCCTACTTGAATCATCACTTCTTCCGACATCATGGGGGGGGCTGCCGCCCCCCCCAACCCCCCCGCTACGTTTTAGATTTTCTGCAGAGATTTAAGTAATTGCGCCCCTAGTTGAATCATCAATTCTTCGAACATCATGGGGGGGGCTGCCGCCCAACCCCCCCGCTACGACATTTTACTGGCCCGGCAGAGATTGAATTGCTTTGAATCATCACTTTTCCGAGCGTCCAATTTCGCGAGAAAATGCTGCAAAATACGACATTTTAGGTGAATCTTCACTTCCGACATCCTACAGATTTGAATTAATTGCACCCCTAGTTGAATCATCGATTCTTCGAACATCATGGGGGGGGCGGCAGCCCCCCCAACCCCCGCTAGTTTTTAGACTTTTTGCAGAGATTTAATTGCACCCCTATTCGAATCATCACTTCTGCGAACAACATCATGGGGGGGCTGCCACCCCCAACCCCCTCTCTCTCTCTCTCTCTCTCTCTCTCTCTCTCTCTCTCTCTCTCTCTCTCTCTCTCTCTCTCTCTCTCTTTAAAAAAAAAATAAAAAAAATCAGGGATTGAAATGCCCTCCTGTTTGAAGCATTATTTTTTTGACTCCGTCAACCCGGCAGCTACTTTTTGGATTTTGTTACCTACGATTTGTTGGTGATGCTAGGGATGTTGGTCGGCGATTCAGGTCTCATCACCCCCCTCTCGGAGAATTGTGCAATCCACTCCAACCCTGGTGCTCATACTGCAAACCTCTGTTTCTTTTGGTTTTGTTGATACTTTTTGGGTGCGGATTTATTTTGGGAATGTTTTTTTTTTTTTTTCCACGTTTTTCGTCCGGCCAGTAAAATGTCGTATTTTACAGCATTTTCTCGCGAAATTGACGCATTTTACACTAGCCCGTCAACATCCCCAGCATCGTTTTCAACATCCCCCGCATGTCTGAGCTTTCATGGAAATCAGCTGCAGGAATTTCTAGAGGAAGTTTGCCAAATACCCATCAAGGCATCAAGCGCGGGGGGTTTGGCAAGCTTCCTGTTCACTAGTCCAGTGTCCGCCGATCGCCATCCAACTCGTTCGACTTCAGCGGATCATTCGCTTGGCGGCAGGCAGCACGATTTCTTTGGAGCAGTACTGCAAAGCGCAGGACAGGAACTCAAGTGAGCCGTTCAGTAGCTGTAGCTGCTGGAAGCGATTTGTTTTTTTCGGGTTACAAGACTCTGCAAAAAGGGTGGACCGCAACTAAACTACATTTAGTGTTGTCGGACACTGAAGAAATGAGGGGGCCTCAGTTTCTTGGAAGCAAGGGCAGTTGCAACCTACCCGGTAGGCAAATCCCAGCCCCGCAATTTCTTATCCAGTGATTTCTTATCCAGTGCTTGCGCTGTAACCAAAGAGAACCTTCCCTTCAGCCGGTTTCAAACTGCTCTTTCATTCTTTGTGGGGTTCTCATGCCTTTGACGGAAAACTGCACTGTCCAGAGAGGAGCTGGGTGGCTACGATCACTGGAACAAGCACTTCACATTTCTATGCTCGCTTGTGTGGCCCCTCATTGACCCGTGGACTGCAAAGTGCTCCCCTTGGGTATGTGTCAAACTTGGTCAGATTGAGGCGCCAGGCAGTCTGCACAGGCTTGACACAACGAATGGGCGAGAGACTGAGAGGGTTTGCAACAGTCACATGCCCCTTCCCGGAAGTGGCAGGGTGTTTCTCTGTGGAGTTTCATTTTTCTGACAGTGTTGTCCTTGCTCAGCTCGGTTCTTTTTTCTGAGCCAGGGAGGTTGACCATATTGGATGGGTTCCTTTCGCACCACTATCAAGTGGTGCCGCCGTGCGTACACCTACCGAGTGGGCGGTGCAGGTGCACCATGGCCAATGAAAACATGGTCATGAGCCCCTCATTTTTTGATGAGCATGATAAGGGTTACTTTCAAGGCAAGCATGGGAGAGATGGGTCATAAGGGCTGCATCGAAAGCACTCCTTGTTCCCCGGATGCATAACCCTGATTTCGTTTTGGGGGTGTTCCCCGCCCGAAACTGCAGGATTCGCTCAGGACACATATCAATCAACGGGTTTAATGGGTTCCCCATTGCGAGAATTTGCTTTGCGTTGACCATGTTGACCCAAACACCGGAGCCGAGTTTGGACTCCCAGGAATCCTACTGGCTAGTTCTGGCACCTTCGGCATGCAAGTCGGCTTGGTTTCGACCATGGCGGAGCCTGACCTTCAGGTGCCCTTCACCCGCTTGGGGCTTTCCTTCAAACCAACCCAAAAAGGGTACCTGCCAAAAGACAGTCCGTATGGCAACTTTTAACTTACAAATTGTGAAGCTGACCCTGCGTCGCACTTGTGAGTATTAGGCCATGTTTCTTTGACCTGGAAGTCAGCTGGCCAAAAGAGAAGTCAAACAGACATGGAATCCAATTCGAAAGGGTTTTGGTTGAGGCAACAGCAGTTAATGTAGAAGGCTAGTGTTCGGTTCGCAGAGTGCATGTAGCATTTGCAATGGTCAGGCGGATGTGGCACAGGTGAATGGCTTGGTATCCCTTTCCCCTACGATTTAGCTCGTGGGCACCCCCAAATGTTGTCCCTCAAGCACCAGTGGGCTCCTCGAGGAGCAAAAAAGCAACAGAGCACCCAATTTTCATGTGAGGCATCTCTGCTCTACATCTTCCGGCACGGCCTGGTGATCACGGGGGAGAAGCGTGCCGTGGTGTGTATGCAGACCTTCGCAAAGACCTTGGTGCAGATGGGGCACGTCACCTATGATGAGGCCCGAGCGCCGTGCGGCCGAGCGTGCGCCTTGTGGGCCAAATTTGAGGATTCCCTTTTCGTCTTGTTCTTCTCTTCAGGATATTTTTGTGGGGTGTGTGGATTGGGACCGAGTTGTTTTCTTTTGAGGATCGGCAACTGTTTTGGGAGTTGTTCTAAAGGGAAACCCAAAAGTTGGAGACAATCTCATCTCAAGTTGGAGTGATTTTTGTTGCCTTTACTTGTTTTGAGGATCCCGCTTTGGGGCTGTCTTGAAGCGCAACGAAGGGAAAGACACCCATTTGGAAAGGTGACTTTCAGATGACAGCATCAAACCACACGTTTGGACAGGGTCCTTACAAATTCCCACGTCTTCACATGCGTACATTTGTTGGGACGATGCTTAAAACCGCCCTTGCTGGGCTTCACCTTTCCTGCACTTCAGGCGGCCTCAGCGGAGCCGTTGAAGAAAGCCCTGCAGACCTACAACGAGCTGGGGATTGTGCGCTGGGCCCGAAGAATCGGCGACCAGGGTGAGGCTTGGATGCGACACCGCAGCTTTTGTGCATGGGTGTGTCTCAAAGTGGGGGGAACCCAAGACATGAGAGGTTTGCCTTTTGCTTTCCCTTAGAAAGCTATCCAAAGGGGCCCCTTTTTGAGAGGGCCCCATCTTGGCGGTTTTTGCAGGCACTTTTTCTTCTTCCCCGGCTGGAGGGGTCCGGGCCCTCCCACTCCGCCGGCTGAAATCTGAGCCGAGGAGAAGCTGGAGGTTCTGGAGTTGGAGCCGGAGTACCGAGGCCGGAGCCGGTTCCGAACCGGTGATGCGAGACCGGCGAACCGATGCCCCCGTTACCCCCGAAACGGGTGGGGTTGTTTCAAGCCAAGGGGGGAGTTTCACCCATGCTTGGTTTCAGGCTCTGTGGATTTGGATACGTGATCCCTGTCGGATGCGGAGAAAACTAAAACGGTTTTGGGTACTCGCTCATGCAAGGTGAGCCACAATCAAAGCCTGGGTAGATGAAGGTTAGCAAGGGCCGGTCCCAGCCAGAAATAGCTGCGGCCGCCTTCTCAATTCTTGACATGGTTCTTGGCCAACCATTTTTATGTCGGGTTTTGATTTTGATTCAGGTGTTGATTCCTGCTCTCAGCTCGTTTGCCCGAAAACAAGCCCCCGATGGCGAAATGCCTCGGACGCCCAGGGACCGGAGATGAGAAGTTCCGGGAGCTGATCCAGCTCACCAATGAGGTCGCCTCATATCGGAGATGCTGGCGCGAACAGGACGAGCGAGAGGGTCCAGCGCGAACTCCTCTCTTTTTTTTTCCAAGTGCCCGCTTTCTCTGGCCATATTAAAATTTCGATCAATGTGGTTTGGTGTGTGCAATCAGGGGTGTTGGTTTGGGTATTTGGAGTGGGAGGATTACTAAGCCCTGCTTGATTCAAGAGTCTGCACAAACCATTCGGAACCCGGAGCAACAACCCGGGTTGATTAATAGAGGGCATTTCCCATTTCGAGTGGGGGAATCCTTAATGGAACCAAGCGGGATTCGGAAGTCGGATTGAGACGAGAACCCCCACGCGTTCTCCGGATCACTTCCCACTTCAGAGGGAATCCTTCACTTTTTGAGAACCCCACATGAATTCACCAGATTGGCAGATCCAGGCGGGAACATGGCATGAACTCTTGCTACTCGCAACTCTTGCAAGGTGATTTTTGTGCAGCACTCGAGGCTCGGTACGCATAGTTTGTCCAACCACGGCATGCCGAGAGTTGAGTTTGGCTCCTGCCATGAAACCTGCAAAATCGCTGTCTTGTTATTTTGTTTTACCTCTCTCTACTGTAAATACCAACCAAAAGGGGTCCGAATCCCATGTCGAGAACCTCCCAGTTGCTGTGCGCTTGTCCAGGAGGGTCCGGAAGATTATCCAGAGTATATTGCCAGAATGGCCTTCGGCGCGTCGAAGCTCTGACCGCACGCGGCTTTGCACCACCAATCGATTGGAATTCATGGGTGTGGCTGAAAACATGGGGATCCCCCCAACTTTTGGGCGGCTTCCTTTTCTGTTTGTTTTAGACCCATCCCCCAAATTGGGGCCCCGATTTTTGGACACACCCACATTGCTCCCTGACCCATTGATTCACTGATGGTCTCTGAACAGTCAGAGGAACATCACGTCTCAACCGCACTGCCTGGCCCGAACTTCGCGAAGGGTTGCCCAGCGTCAACTTCAGCCCTGAGTTTCCTGGGTGGCTCAGCTTTTTCGCCGTAACCAGTTTTGTGAACCCTTCGCGGCAAGGAAAGGCTTGCGCAGCTGCACTGGGTTCACGGCACTTCTGTCCAGGCCGTAGTTGGTGAGGTCGCCCGGATGGTGATCGAAGAAAGCATCGCGCGTGCGGCTTGCGCGTCTTGCTTGAGCTTGATTCGGGAAAGCGCCTATCAAATGTGTATGTCTTCTTTTGGTTGTATCTATGGGGGGTTGCTTCGAAGGGAAACCGAAGGGCCTCTGGCGGCCGATTTGCGTGCGGTTCCGTTTCCTTTGCTGCGGCTCCAAGTAGGC